GTGTCTTGGACATTAGAGTTCTAGATAAGGCAGCTGGGTACATAAGCCTGGAGTTCAAGACCCGGCTGGAGGTACACATTTGGGAACTGTGAGATTGTAGACTGTATTAAAGCCACAAGATAACCAAGAGAGTGGGTACTGATAGAGAAGAAAGCGGCCTAGAGACTGAGCTCTGGAGTACAAGGAGAAGAAAAGGAACCTGCAAAGGACACAGAACAAGAAGCCAGTGGGGTCAGAAGACAACAAGGAGTTTGCAGTTGTCTTGAGAGCCAAAATGAAGAAGATTAATCATAAAGGGAGTGCTCAGCTGAGTCTACTAGTGCTGACGGGTGAAGGAAGAGGAGGAGAACTATGCCTTCATCCCAAGCTCCAGCAACACAGAAGGGCATTCAAGAACAGTTTCAGTAGAATACTAGGGTGAAAAGTGAGACTGATTTAAAAATGTGGCGAGAAGAATTAGACACAGGTTTCCTTGGTTTATAAATGAAACAGTTTTCCTTAGGAAACCCAGGGCAGGTTTTGAGATTTTTGTGATTTGTGATTGTCATATATTGAAGGTTTATTTCCTTAAATATTTATAAGACCTACAAAACCATCTCTGATCAAGTTGTGAAGTCACTAAAATAAGTCTTTTCTATAAAATGGGAAAGAAGAACATAAAGTTCATTTCATTTGCCATTTGATTTTCTGAATGGTTACAGTACACATAAGTTAAAGTTTCTCTGTAAGTCACTTTTTTTTCTTTTTTTAAAGATTTTATTTATTTGAGAGAGAGAAAGCACAAGCAAAGAGAGTGCGAAGAGAGAGGGAGAAGCAGGCTCTCCACTGAGCAGGGAGCCTGATGCAGGTCTCCATCCCACTTGAGCCGATGAAGGCAGATGCTTAAGGAACTGAGCCACCCAGGTGCCCCCTCTATATGTCACATTAACATAAGGGTGCTCCAGGAGGCCTAATTTACAGAAGAATAATCAAACTCATCAAACCCAATGGTCAGTTTATTTGTCTATTGTGTTCACTTCCACCTTCCCTCTACCCCTCCCCTTACCCCAACACCATCCTTAGAATGTAGACTCCAGGAGAACAGGAACTTTCTCGGTCTTTGACACCTGAATTCCCAGCACCTAGCACATGGTGGGTAATTAAATGCTAAGTGTTAAATAAAATAAAATGCATGTTATGGAGACATTTTTTGCTGTAACTACTGGAGGGTACACAGAGGCATCCTGGAGACAGAAATACCAATAAACCTCCTACAATTCACAGGACAGCCCCTCACAACAAAGATTGTCCAACCTGAAATGTCAGTAGTGCCAAGGTTGGGGAATGCTACCTTAGAGGAAAGAGGAAAAAGAATTAGCTTGATTCCTGTAAGACTTGGGTTTGAATCCCTGGAAGAAGAAAAGGGCCTCCAGCAGCAGCATTCACTCCAGATACAGCTGGCTCTCACACAAGAAAACATCTGATGTGGCTTGTAGGGATTCACTGGTATGCACTTTGTCACCCGAGCTGCAGCAGATAAAATCTAGGCTGCAGTGTAGGAAGAGAACATGGCAGAAGAACACAAAACAATGAAATATCTCCAACAAACAGAAACTGAGGACTATCCTGGTAAATAAAGGAATATTATGCTTGTTAAGAAAAAGACTATCCCAGAAGAAAAATAAGCAAAAGACCTGATCCATACATATCACAAAGGCCTGATAAAAGGCCAGAGAAATATGGAGGAAAATGCTCAACGTCATTAGTATTCAAGGAAATTCAAGGAAATGCAATGAGAAACAATGATGTATTTTAATCCATCAGATGGGCTAGAATGATACAGACTGATAATACCCACAATGGGTGAGAACACAGGACTGCAAGCAGTATTGGTACAATTCCTTGGCAGTGGGATTTCAAATTATCTTTTTCCTTATATTTTTCAACAGTGTTCTTCTAAAAAACGAGCTTTTAGCTTCTAAGTCATGATGCTATTGTCATCTGAAATAAAATCCCCAAATTATAGAAATACATATTATACATATATACATAGACTTTCAATGTCACTGTGCCTGCCCTAGTTCAGAGCCAACTCTTTCTGCCACCTAGCTTTCCTCCTCCTTGTACTGTAATTGGATCCTCCTGAAAATAAAACCCACTCTGTAACTTCCTTGCTTGAAACTCTTCAGTGGATCCCATTTCAGGGGACCCCTCAATAGCATCAGGGCACCCTCCTAGATCTGAGACTATCCAGGTTTCCTCCCGTGTCCTCCCTCATACTTTTTTTTTTTTTTTTAAGATTTTATTTACTTATTTGACAGAGATCACAAGTAGGCAGAGAGGCAGGCAGAGAGCTAGGAAGGGAAGCAGGCTCCCTGCTGAGCAGAGAGCCTGATGTGGGGCTGGTTCCCAGGACGCTGGGATCATGACCTGAGCTGAAGGCAGATGCTTTAACCCACGGAGCCACCCAGGTGCCCCACTCCCTCATTCTTTTGGTTCAAACTTGACACAGTGCTTGTAACCTTTGTAGCTGCCTTGCTTGACTCATTGATTTGCCTGGAGTTCCTACAGCCCCTTCCCTACTATGGTACTGGTACTCTGACCCGAAGTTCCAGTTCCTTGGGCTGACAGCCATTATTTCACTTAGCACAGAGCCTAGAAATCCTAGTCCCCTCCTTCCTCCTTACAAACCAGGGTCATCTTAATTTTTTATCTGCTGTACTAGCACACCACCTGCCTGGTGAATAGAATGCTTAACATTTAAAATGCTTTGTTCATTACCCTGTTTTCCTGGTTTTGATACCTTGTTTCATTTTTCTTATTGTTTGATATGTTCATTATTGAGTTTAGAAAAGTCTTTGTGGTTCTACAGACAGCAAGCAGAATCTGAGTATGCCAACTTTTTAACTATATCTTTCTTTGTAAGCCAAAGTTCATCCTATAAACACTAGAAACTGACTACAGACCCCAAGTGAACTTAAAACCAAGAATCATCTCCTACTGGTGTTTTCCTTATTTATTTATTATTTTATTTATTATTTTAAAAAAGATTTATTTGACAGAGATCACAAGTAGGCAGAGAGGCAGGCGGTGGGGGGGCGGGGGAAGCAGGCTCCCCGCTGAGCAGAGAGCCCAATGCAGGGCTCAATCCTAGGACCTGAGCCAAAAGCAGAGGCTTAACCTAACACTGAGCCACCTAGGTGCCCTGGTATTTTCCTTTTTAAAAGGAAAATAGCTGAAGGCTGTTGTGGGAGGTCATTGAGAGGACATGACTGCCAGTTCACCCACAAGCTGGACTTGGGCCATCAGAGGCTGCTTACCCCCTCCCCTGTCCTTGGAATGTATGTTCTGCCCACCGTTGGCACAATGGGAGCTGGCCTAAGGACACAGATTTGAGACAGCAGTATGCTGTTGACAGCTCTGGATGGTCTACGTGACTGAACCCAGTTAAGGCCTCCTTATACACTTTGAAGATTCTGGTGGGCGGATGCAGGGATCTGCTCACCTTGTGGGCACCCCAGACAAGCCCTATAACAAATAAGTCAGTTTCTTTGTTTATTAAGCAGTCTGGAGGGGTCTGCCCCTTTCTTTGGTCTCTCCCAGCCCTCCATGTACAAGGGCCAGTTTCAGATTATACCCAGGAAAACTCTCGAGGAGTTTGCAGACCAACAAAAGCAGTTTACAGATTCTTCCAGAACACAGAGACAGATTTCCGGAGAAGGCAATGGCTTTGTGATATACTTATTAAAAAGGAAGGAAAGAGAAAAAAAAAGAAGAAGGGAGAAAATAAGTTAGGAAACTTAGATATGATCTTAATTTTTAAAAATGCTATTTGGCTTTAGTTTGTGAATGTTGCCATTTTGGGGCCTCAAGGGGACTGACTATAGGTGACAGACCATCACTTTTCCCTTGATAGAGAACTTTTAGAATGTCCCAGCAGTGAGTAGATCTAAAGGAAACTGGTGTTCGTCCTCCTAAGTACCTGATGTGACCTAATCAATACAACCTCTGCCAAATAGTTGTGTATATTGTATGGGTTTTCAAATGAGATCTTGATTATTCAGCTAATGGACCAACACACATTTGATCGCAAATGCCCCCTCCCCTCAGTTAAGCTTTCTAGGGTAGCACATAAAGATGCTAATGCAAATGGATGAATTAAAGGGGCAAACTAGGAAAACTGGGGAAATAATGCCCTTTACTCATAAAAATGCTTCATTTCACCTGGAGAATTAGATATGATTAATATCTATATATAAGTTTATATGACATCTTAGTCTCATAATTTTAAAGTATAATCCAAGGTGGGCCCAGCTGGATCAGTTGGAAGAGCATGTGCCTCTTGATCTCTGGGTTGTGAGTTCGAGCCTCACACTGGGTATAGAGATTATTCAAATAAATAAGACTTAAGAAAGCATAAGTCAAGGCTAAAAAGATGGTTTTTGGACCAACTTAAAGCCAAAAAACATACCTTTCTTGATCTAATCAAGGTATAGTCAATACTGAAACACATGACAACTTCTTAAAGAAGGATTAAAATAAGGGGAACGTTCTCAAGTTTTCTCTGAAGTTTTTCAGCTGTTGCTAGTGGAAGGTGCTGCTGACATAACAAGCAACACTGGTCAGTCTGACACTGGTCCAAGTGATCTGATTATCTTATTTCTGGAGAATGGAAAACTATAGGAGTTTGCATAGTCAACCACCTAGTGAGACTGGTCTTACAAAGAGGATATTCTCTGTAAGAGCTACAGAGGCCAAGCTGTCATCCCAGACCATACAAGCACTTTGAGTACATGATAAGGCTCTGCAGGGGAAAACAACATTAACCACAAAAAATAATGATTTCTCTCATCAGTTTAAGAGTGGAGAAAACTTACTTGATCAAACCCTTTTTTCAACTAGATCATCGCATCAGATTTCCTCCATATACATAGCCAAATTATTACCGGGTTCTAATCTTGGGCGGGAAGAATTGTTTAAACTACACCTTTGATTTTAGGATAAACCAGACAGTTAACTTCAAAATGTGCAAAAACAGACGTTCTCCTCGAGATATGCAGGCTCTACGAAATACTTTTCAAGTGACCCAAAAGTTTCACCTACTAAAGAGCCATGCAGGTGAGAGCAAAATTAAAGTTTCCAACCAAAATTGTCAAATGTTATCTGGCAAAAACTGGCATTCCTGAGGATAGCTGGCCAGGTCATCGATCAGTCTTAGATTCCTCTGCATTCCTCTGCAACTGCTTTCCTGACCTTGAGCAGATCACACGTGACCAGGCGGAGAGTCAAGGTCAGAGGAAGTGAAAGTAAACAAGCGCTTACTCAACAGGGCATTGTGTCGCTTCAGGTAGGCAATTATGTCTCCTTGCTTTTCGACGATCTCTTCTAGGCTTGAAATAGGCCTGCGAAGAATCAACAGATTCACCAATACTCATCTCTTTGCAAATGGGTCCCCTCCCAGTTTCCAGTACAGCATATTGTATTTGGGACTTTTTCTTAAGATGCTGTAAGCCAAGGTAATATTCCAAATTGAGGTTCTTTCATCAGACTTGGTTTTATCCAGCTGAATGGGAGTAAGCAAATCAAACTTAAATCTAAGGCACATATGCATAATCACAAATCCCAAGCATAAGAATGTTTTCTAGATTTTCAAGGTGGGGCAACCTCATAATTCTCTTTCTCTAGTCTTTCATTCCCCACCCAAAGCTTACCTGAATCCAGTCTCCGAGGTAATATTGCTGGGGTAAGCATATATTTTTTCTTCTTCAAGTACATCAGGTTGTGGTTTGGCTTTATTAAATTTTCGAATTTTCACTAAAATAATAAAGTCATTATTGTCAGGTTACCTAATTATGAAAAAAACTTTTACTTCCATTTATTCAAATTATAATAATTGGCTATGCTTTTCAAGTAAGTTAATATGGACGAAAATGCTTCATAAAGTGAATAAACAGGTTTGTTTATTGATGTACTCAAGCATTTGAAAATCTGTGAGCAGGCCCGAACTAAACACCGGACTACAGAGAGTGTCATTATTACTGATAATAATAACAGCTATGATTTTTTGGTAAATTTAAAAGACAGAAGGCACAGGTGAACTATTGTGCATGGACAGCCTCATCCAGTTCTCAGAACCACCCCCTGAAGCAGATGCCCTGTCTCCTACCTTGTACAATAAAGTGAAGCCCAGAGAAGTTAAATAAGTAGCCAGGTTTCCAGTCCAGGAACCATGACTTTTTTCCAACAACCTCCACTGTTGATACTACCCTATAGAAAGAGCTACTAGTTCAGGGAAAAATACAGATGAACAGTCTACATTCCAAGACAGTATGAAAAGAACCAAAATCAAAGCTTGCATGAGGAGCTTGTGGCAGCCCTGGAAAGCAGCCCCTTAACTCAGCAGGAGTGGGATGGGAGGGACAATCATGGAGGAGGATGGAAGGGCTTGAGTCCAGTCTTGGGGGAAACAGGAAAACTAACTGCACGGACTAGGGGAGGAGAGAAGAAGGGTGTTTTAGGTATGGGAAGAGCCTGAACAAATACTTAGACCTTGAGAAGGGGTGTGTGTATGCACTCACGTGTGTGTGTGTATGAGGGGGTGGAAAGGTAAGCAGGCAAGACATGAGTGACTGCCAAGGCGTTGAGATTTTGTCCTGAGAGTAAATGGGAGTCACTGAAAGGAGCTCACCATCACCCCTGAAGGGCAGGGATGAGTAGGGCCAGCTCATGGCAGGCCTTTTCTTTTCTTTTTTTTTTTTTTAAGATTTTTTATTTATTTGACAGAGAGAGATCACAAGTAGGCAGAGAGGCAGGCAGAGAGAGACGGATGGTGGGCTCGATCCCATGACCCTGATACCATAACCTGAGCTGAAGGCAGAGGCCTAACCCACTGAGCCACCCAGGCACCCCTCATGGAGGGTCTTTTATGCCACACCAAGACTTCAGAAAACTCTGAACAGGGAAATTGTTAATGATAAGAGTTACTTCTGAATACAATTACGTTGGCGGGAGGAAGGAATACAAAGAGAGAACAGAGGAAGGGAGAGCAGTAGCATGCCTATGGGAATTATCCACACAGGATATGATGAGTGTCTAACTGAGGCAGTGGCAGTGACAGAGGGGAGGAGACAGGTATGGGAGACAGGCCGACTGAACAGGACTGATGACTGAGGGAGGGGAGAGAGTTAAGGGCCAAGGAAGAATCCAGGATGACAAAAAGGTTTTGAATTGAGCAGAAACTACAGGCTGGTGCTCTTAGCTGAGGGAGGGGAGGAGGGACAGGATGGGGGAAGGTTTGGAAGAAGAGACAGATGTTTAGGTCACTTCTGTCTTGGTACACTGGAACACCAGGATGGAAATGATCACTGAGCAGGTGAATATAAAGGTCTGGGTGACTCTCTTCACCTGAGGGCTGCCTCCTAGTGTGAGGACAGTAACTTTCAGTAGGTAGAGAAAAAGGATGCGGGAAAGCTGACACCCACTAATAGTAAAGAGATGCGGAAGAATCTGTTAAAAGGAATGAAAATGAATCTCCAGAGAGGGAGGAGAACCGGGAAAGAGCGGTCACTGCCAGGAAGGTGAAGACACGGAGAGGACCGAGGGGACGCTGCAGTTTGGAGGCCACCGATGAACTTGGCTGCTTGTGAGGGTAAGTGATGTTATGGACTGAAGCGCGTTCCCCGAAAATTGACATGTTGAAGCCCTCACCCCGAAGTAATGGTCTTTAGAGATAGGGCCTCCAGTGAGGTAATTAACATTAAATGAGGTAATAAGGGCGGGGCCCTGATCGGACAGGAGAAATACCAGGATGTGCTTGCACAGAGCACAAGGCCATGTGAAGACACCCACAGAAGGCAGCTCAGGAAGGGAGGCTCAAGAGCAACCAAGCCTGTCCATACCCTGACCTTGGACTGGCAGCTTCCAGAACTGTGAGAAAATGAATCTGTGTGGCTTCAGCCACCTAGTCCAGGTACTGCAAGTGGGGGAAGTCAGTGGCAAAGAGGCGGAGAAGCAGACATGGTGAAGGCCATTGTTTTCCACCTCTCAGAGGTGACAACAACTGGGACAGTTTGCATCCTGGACAGCAGTTAACTGGGCTGGGGCTCTCCCCTGCCTGAACAATAACTCTGGGACCGGGCTGACATGAGTTGTCTCCCCCAGAGATGGCTACCAGGGGGGAGAAAGCCAGGGGAGAAGGAGGCAGTGATCGTCAACCCGACTGAACATGAGAATTACACCAAATAGATGAGAGTATTTGCCATGGGAATGGGGGGAGAGGGGACAGGTCAGACCCCGGCATTACATTTTGTAAAAGCTCCACATGCCATTCTTTCCTTTTTCATAACAAGTTTTCAGATATAATTCACATATCATGCGTTCATCCATTGGAAGTATACAAGTCAATGGTTCAGTATTTCAGAGCACTGGGCAATCACCTCCACAGTCAATTTTAGAACACATTTATACCCCCAAAGAGAAACCCAGTATCCATTAGTGGTCATTCTCCATTTGCCCCCTGCCCTCTGGCTCTAGGTTACTGCTCATCTATTTCCTCTCTCTGTACATGTGCCTGTTCTGGGCATTGCATATCCATGGGATCGTACATAGACCGTCTTCACAATGACTGGTTCTACTTAACATAATGTTTTCAAGGTTCATCCACATTGCAGCACATACTTGAACATCAGTCCATGTAGTCATTCCATTTTAGGACTGAGTAATATTCTTTTGTATAGATTGAACACATTTTGTTTATCTATTCATCAGTTTATCCTAACATCAATTAGATGTTTTCCCCTTTGGGCTATTATAAACAGCACTTCTTTGAACAACTGTGTATGTGTTTTTGTGGACATGTCTTGGATATATACGCAGAGTCCTGAGACACTCTGTTTCTCCTTTTGTGGAGCTGCCAGGCTCCTCATGTGATTCGAATGTGCACTTTCAGCTGAGAATTAGGCTCAAGAAGTTGGAGTGAAGAGGTTAAAAGTGAGAAAGTTGTGGGGGGAGGGGGGCTGAGTGGCTCAGTCAGTTAAGCAGCTGTCTTCGGCTCAGGTCATGATCCCAGGGTCCTTGGATCAAGTCCCACATCCGGCTCCCTGCCGAAGGGAGTCTACCTCTCCCTCTGCCTGCTGCTCCCCGTGCTTGTGCTCTCTCTCTCACTCTTATTCTATCTCAAATAAATAGATGAAATAAAATTTAAAAAGTGAGAAAGTTGGGAGATGTGCAAAGGGTCCACCAGGAAGGACCAGGAGGAAGCACACAGTATGCTACCAGAAGAACCAAGCGTGCCTAATACCTAGATGCCCTTGACTTTCAGATACAGCGAGGAAGTTGGAAATGAGAAGCACCTTCTGGCTTTGAATGGCACTGGCACAAAACCTGATGTGCTCTAGCTTGCAGGTTAGAGGAGACAGACTGAGCTGCGGGGCTCCCTCCAACAGGTCAGGGAGAGCACTTGACAGAGCAGACTAGGGAGCCCCATTGAGGCAGGCAGGAAACCAGAAAAACCAGAGGCCTGAAGCTAGTAAGGGGTAAGCTCCCAGGAGGTAAACTGTGTCCAAGGTGATCCAGTAAAGATGAAGGCTGAGAATCGAACCTGTTATGTGATGGCTACCAGTGAATCTGTTCAGTGTTTACATCTTAGTTTTCTAAAATGTTATCTTCCCCAAATAATCCCTGAATAAAGGAAGAAGCTTAGAAAAAAATGTAAGTTTCTTGAACTGGGGGACAGGAAATAACAGTTAGGTAGTATTAAAGTAAAAGGGGACAGAAATAGAAGACACACCACAGTCTGACAAAATAAAAAGGTCTCGGGCACCTGGGTGGCTCAGTCCCTTAAGTGTCTGCCTTCCATTCAGGTCATGATCCCAGGGTCCTAGGATGGAGCCCCACACTGAGCCCTGCATCAAGCCCTGCACTGGGCTCGGTAAGCCTGCTTCTCCTTCTCTCTGCTGCTGCTCCCCCTGCTGTGTTCTCTCTCTGTGTCAAATAAATAAATAAAACCTTAAAAAAAAACACCCTACAGTATATTTAAAGGAACATTGTAATTTAGTAAGTTAAGCTTACTCTTGAGGATGTGGAGGTAAAATAGTCCTACTTGAATCTTCTAAAGAAATTAAATATTTGCAGAAACCCAAGTTTATAATTACAATTATCATAAACCTTTCTTATCTAAACCATCTATTTATTTTGAGAGTGTGAATTACCAATTATCAGGTTTTCTTACAGTAGGAAGCATATTCATTTGAGATTTAACAAGATAGTTTTTTTTTTTTTTAAGATTTCATTTATTTATTTGAGAGAGAAAGAGAGATCACAAGTAGACAGAGAGGCAGGCAGAGATGCAGGCAGAAAGAGAGGCTCCCCACTGAGCAGAGCCCCATGGGGAACTTGAACCCAGGACCCTGAGATCATGACCCGAGCTGAAGGCACAGGCTTAACCCTCTGAGCCACCCAGGCGCCCCAACAAGATAGTTTTTTTTTTTTTTTAAAGATTTTATTTATTTATTTGACAGAGAGAGAGATCACAAGTAGGCAGAGAGGCAGGCAGAGAGAGAGGAGGAAGCAGGCTTCCTGCTGAGCAGAGAGCCGGATGTAGGGCTCCATCCCAGGACCCTGGGATCATGACCTGAGCCGAAGGCAGAGGCTTTAACCCACTGAGCCACGAGGGCGCCCAACAAGATAGTTTTTTAATGGTGTTTTTATTCAGATAAAAATTAAAAAATTAATGTAAGTAAAGAAGAAATATGCTACAAAGTCTTTGAGTATAGAATAAAGCAATTCTTTTTAATTATAAGGCAATATATTAAAATAAATGGAAAAGAATAAAATAAAACTCTTTTTGTTTAAGTTCAGGTGTCATGTAACTATTTGTGTCCAACTGTAAAAATGAGTTCCTGTCAGGATTCTTGGAATATCTGTTTCCTTTGCCTCTTAAACACTCTCAGGATTTTGTTTTTTATCTCTTATTTATAATTAATTATAGATGCTACAGCAAATCCTTTAAAAATAGTATAGTAAGTCCTAGAGAAATAAATCTTGGACTATCTTTTAACAGTATTAATTTTCCCTTATTTACATGATTGACATTCACATGATCTTTGGAATATTGTTGTTACCTCCTTCTATGTCACAGAGCATTCTATAGATCTTTACTACAAGAAGGCCTGCACCCCTTGTGGTAAATAAAAGTTGTAGAGTACTAAAGTAACAGGGTAAGTGAATTCTCTACTCAGATCTAAACTATGATCTCATTTATAGCATCTTCCAGACGTGTTGTAGACTGGAACTGATCTCAATCAAGAAGGTAATTCAGTATTCATTTGTCATATGGATCACTTTATTTTAAGTGAGGTACAAAATGTATTCCTATCCATAATTTGGCTCATTGTTAGCTGATAATTATAGAAAAATTTATAAAGATCAATCAATAATGTGACATTCACATTTACAAACTAGTAATACCATTCATATTCTAAATACTCTTCTGTTGGCCTAAGGAGATGCACAGGAAAAAAAAAAAAATCAGTAAAATGAAACATAAGCTGAGACCTGTGTGACTTTGCCCTTCTTGGCAAAAAGAAATGACCTTTTTCAAAATGGATACATAAGATATTTTATTATCACAAAATAACTGTTACGCAGTGCCAGAAAATTGGCTACTATTTTGGACAGATTCTATGGCATGTCAATATTGCAGCAGGAATGAAACCTAGATTTTTCCAGGGCTTGAATTTTTTTCTGTTAAAAGTATTCTTCCATCTGTTTTTCATGTTAATATATCTAAAGCGTATTTTTTTTTTTTAAGATTGTTTATTTTAGAGGGAGAGTATGCACGGGGGAGAGAGAGAGAATCCTCTAGCAGATTCCCCACTGAGCACAGAGCCTGATGTGGGGATTGATCCCAGGATTCTGAGATCATAACCTGAGCCAAAATCAAGAATCAGCCACTTAACCAACTGACCCATGTATGCACCCCTCTAAAGTAAAGCTTCCTTTAATTTTAATCCCTGAGAGTTCTGAGAGAGAGAGATACACACAGAGAGACAGACAAATAGACCAAATCTCAGATAGCTCTAAATTTAGAAAATGAGTTCCTAAATGGTTTATCCTAAAGTAAGTCTGGGCTAAATGCATTTTGCACACATGATTTATTTATTTACTTATTTTGTATTTTGTCATTTTGAATTTAAATGCCAGACTTATATCTCAGTTGCCTTTGAAGAAGCAAATGTCCGTGGGTCTTTTCAATTTTTTTGTTTTTGGTCTTTTTTAAAGATAAGTATCTTATCTTTAAAAATCTTTTAAAAATTAGTTTATGACACAAATTTAGAAGCATCACTGGTATGTTGCTGTTGGTTTGAAATTGCGCAAGTTTGCATGTGGTCAGCATTGAAAAGTACAGGTGCTCAACAGGCTCCCAGCTGCTAGGAAAACCTTGCCATAATAGATAATGGCCACGCTTCCCATGATCAGGGATGAAACAACCAGTTAGTTCATGGTCTTTGATCCAACAGCCTCGCTGTAATTCTCACCTGTGTAAATGAGCAGACAGGTCAGGGAACAGATCAGTTCCAGGCCCAGGATGGCCAGGATGAGGTCAAGATACAGCCTGCTGGGCTCCGGGAAGGAGTGCTGCATGCACAGCACGAGGAGGAGAGCTGTGCTGCCTGCAGAGGACAGAGAAGTGCAGGGTTAGCAGAGCCCAGATGGGGTCCACAAGGCAGGCGCACACCCAGGCCCTGTTATACGGAGCAGTGAAGGAGGCTTTGGTAAAAACCCCGAACTGCTGCTCTCTAGAGGGAAAACCCCCAACGCAACTAAGAGTTAATGATGCCCCCAAAATACAATTACATAAGAATCTGGATTTTCTTAAAAACCAAGTTATGATTTTTTGCGCTATACAATTATTAACAATGGCACTGCACGAAGTCCCATGTGCATTTAAAAAGGGATGCAGGGGTGCCTGGGTGGCTATGCTGGTTGAGCGTTTGACTCTTGATTTTGGATCGGGTCATGGTCTCAGGGTCATGGGATCCAGCCTCTTGGTGGGCTTCGTGCTCAGTAGGGAGTCTGCTTGTCCCTCTCCCTCTGCTCCTCCCCTTGCTCTCTCTTTCTCAAATAAATAAATACATAAGGATGAAGTTTCTGGAAATTTGCATTATCCCAGTTCTTCCGAATCCAGAGGCACTTGAGGACCATGGTGGCCCATCCTGGTCACATAAGTACCAACAGAGAACTGCACAGAAGTTAAGAATGTTGCAGTTATGTGGACCACCTGGCTGGACATCTGGGACATGCTGCTGACTATGGACAAATGACCTGACACATCTGCTCCTAAATTTCCTTGTCTGAAAAATGGGAACAACAGTACCTTCCTCACAGTGTTCTTGTGAGGAATGGATGAAGTTAATACGTGAAAAACACTTAGAATGGTGCTTGGACACTATATGATCAATATGAACTCTCCCCCCCACACACTTAGCATATCTATTATTTGGTTTTGAAGATCATTAGCCTTGTTTTGTACTTTCATTTTGAAGAATACAGCACAGAAGAAAAGTAAAATTCTGGAGCAAAGAGGCTGGGTCTTGCCATCGTGTAGGGTATTACTGTGAGTTTGCCACAGGGACTTGCTTGGAGGAAGGGTTGTAGGGCATTATGCCTGGGATTTTTAAAGATTACACAAAACCAAAATTAGTAGTTGTAGTTTTGTTTTTAAAGAGTTTCTTTATTTTTCAGAAGGAGAGAGCACACACAAGCAGGGGGAGTAGCAGGCAGAGAGAGAAACACGCTCTGCCGGCGGGGAGCTGCAGCGGGACTTGATCCCAAAACCCTGGGATCATGACCCGAGCTGAAGGCAGAAGCTTATACCCACTAGGTACTGTTAGTTCATTTCCTCCTGCAACAGAGTTTGTGTGAGAAATATTATTTCTCCGATTTTATAGAGAAAAGGTATCAGGATGAAGCTAATCACTAGCCCACAATACTATCACATGCCATAGAAACAATGGTCACACTCATCTGATTAGCTGGATGTTCTACACCCTCATGGACTTACCTTTTTATTCTACATATAAGATAAAATACTTAAAGTAGAAACAAGGTCAATACCTGCCCCAATCTCTTTGATCTTCTGGGTCCTTATATGAGCAACATAAAAGTCATGCCATCTGCAATTAAAAGTAAGGGTCTAATTGCTTAGAAATATTAACGGTCATATGTTAGCAAGAATTTGAAAGTGAGCAGAAAGGTAAAGATCAGACAACCCTTGGTGGGCCTCAAAAATACTATTACCAGACCGCTCACTTGAGAGACTGAACATTACTTTGGTTATAATGCATATATGGTCCTTAAGTTAAAAATGGCTTTTTGCTTTTATCTTCAGTGGGTGGGAGGAAAGGTTATAGTGACATCTTCTGGCCAAAAACAGTATTACACATCAGCAGCAGAACATACAAGCCAAGCTCTTCCTCAAGGAAGAGGTAAAAATGTCCCCCGACCCCACAGTGAGTCAAAACCAGCCATCTCTATAAAATGCTTCTCTGTTATCACATGGCCCTGCAGCTGCCACTGAGAACATTGCAGAGTAGATGAACTCGCACTTGCCCTTTAAGAAAATGTATTAATAGAACACAGAAGAAAAAAAAATTAAATTCTGTAGAGCTGTTTTTCTGGGGGAAAAAATTATCTTCAAATCTGGTTTCAAAATGTGTACGTATTTATTCCGGACTCAATCCGAAAACGAGGTTCTCTTAAAAAGGTAGGAACTTTGAACACCAAGGCAAAAATGCCTAAAGAAGCTCAATTTAATTCCATTCAGCCTTTTTAAGATGTTTGCAAAATCAACAAAGTGGGTACTAATGCAGCTAAGTCCTATGCAGACTTTCCAACCTTTTGTTTTCCATTTTGGATAATGCATTTTATTATATCACAGTCTCTCACTAAAAGAAACACTGAACTTCATTTAAAGTAAAGCCAATTTCTTCCTCTCACCCTACAAGTATCAAATAGCAGCAGCAGCTTATCTTCTTGAGATGATTAAGACGGCTCATACCAGAAGGGGGGAAAAGTCTACATCATGCACAGGCAGATACGTGGACACAATGTTCACAATGGGGGCAAGAAAATGTCACCCCAAAATATGCTTTTGGGCATAAGGATTATTTTTTTCTTAAGATTTTATTTATTTGAGAGAGAAAAGTAAGGGGGGGCGGCAGAGGGAGAGGCAGACTCCCCACTGAGCAGGGAGCCCGACTTGGGGCTTGATCCCAGGATCTCAAGATCATGACCTGAGCTAAGGGCAGACGGTTAACCGACTCAGCCACCCCGACATAAGGATTATTTTAAGCTGATTAGTTTTAAGAAACAACAGACACAGGCGAATCCCAGAAAGCTGATGGAAGTTACCTTTTTAAAAAAATTTTATTTACTTATTTGAGAGAGAATGAGAGAGCACTATTCTCTCAGGGGAGCTGCAGAGAGGGAGCAGCAGAGGGAGAGGGAGAAGCAGTCTCTGCGTCAAGCAGGGAGGCCGATGTGTGGCTCTATCTCAGGACCCCGGGATCATGACCTGAGCTGAAAGCTAACACTTACCTGACTGAGCCACCCAGGTGCCCTGGAAGATACCCTTTTGTAAGAGACAGTTACAAAGGAAAACTAGTTTGTTAGCGTGTCCTTTCTGTACCAGGAAGAGAACGAAGGCTTAGAAACTATTATCCACAAAGAAGGCACAGATTTAAATCTGCATAATAATGTTACCGTTATTTCCAGAGCTTTTCCTGCTCACCCTCCCATTATTCCTCCCACTGCCTCACCACAATGTCTATGGTCTCTTTGGCTAGAGATGGTATTAAAGGTGGTGGCATGGCCCCTTCTGGAGAGTTACTCAGTTTTCTTGGGTCTCTCCCATGAAACACAGGAGATATGTATTTTTTTTTTTAATATTTTATTTATTTATTTGACAGAGATCACAAGTAGGCAGAGAGGCAGGCAGAGAGAGAGAGAGAGGAGGAAGCAGGCTCCCTGCTAAGCAGAGAGCCCGATGTGGTGCTCGATCCCAGAACCCTGGGATCATGACCTGAGCCGAGAAAGAGGCTTTAACCCACTGAGCCACCCAGGCGCCCCAGGAGGTATGCATGTTAATAAATTTGTTTATTTTTTCTTAACCTTTTATTATAGTGGGGTCTCAACCAAAAATCTTCCTAGAAGAGGGAAATTTTTTGACCCCCCCCAATGATAACAAACACAGATGTGAAAGGAAAATTAAGACTATAGTGGGGCGCCTGGGTGGCTCAGTCAGTTAAGGGTCTACCTTCAGCTCAGGTCATGATCCTAGGGTCCTGGAATTGAGCCCTACCTTGGGCTCTCTGCTCAGGGGGGAGCCTGCTTTTTACTCTTCATCTGCCTGCCACTCCTCCTGCTTATGTTTCTCTCTCTCTCTGTCAAATAAATACGTAAAATCTTTTTTTTTTTAAGATTTTTTAAAATTTATTTGACAGAGAGAAAGAGAGATCACAAGTTGGCAGAGCAGCAGGCAGAGAGGGGGAAGCAGGCTCTCTGCTGAGCAGAGAGCCCCATGTGGGGCTCGATCCCAGGACCCTGAGATCATGACCTGAGCTGAAGGCAGAGGCTTAACCCACTGAGCCACCCAGGTGCCCCTAAATAAGTAAAATCTTTAAAAAAAAAAAAAAAGAAAAGAAAGAAAATTAAGACCATATTATTAAAAAAGCTTCAAGACAATAAGCTGATCTTATTTTAGTGGCCACAACACACATCACTCTCACAAACATGAGAGACTATATTTGATTTTAAAGTCAAACCTCCCATTTTCCTTCTGCTGGCATTTCTACCACACAAGCAAGCCACAGACAAGCTGAGCCAGACTCACCGGTTGAGTGTATCATCAGTGCAAGTCCTTTAAGATGCCTCGTAGCTAGGTAGATCATGTTATAGCCTCGGTTTCTGACTTTGTTGTGGTGATACTGGATATAGCGTTCAAGAAGGAAATGCAGAATCCACAAAATAACTTTTCCAAGGATTATGACTGTCTGAACCTTCAGTGGATTGGTATAGTTTCCTGGGCACTTGTCCTCAATTGGATTAGGGTAAGAACAAAGCACACCTGTTAAAAATGCTAAAATGACAAATACAACCTGGTGGAAATGAAAGCAGTAGGATTAATATTCAATATTTAGAATTAAGAAATGATATTTACCACCCAAGCACATAGTCATACCTATGACTTTTGTGATCCTATTTTTATAAATGAATTTACAAACAACTTTTTTTTTCCATTTTACAAATGTTTTAAACAGAAAATTTGGAGAAAAATTTGCAAAAAATTTGGAAACAAATCACAAATAAGAGAAGTCACCCCAAATCCTGTCTAATAGAGACGAGTACTTAAACAATTTCTTGCCCACTTCTCTTTTATTGAAAAGAGTAAAAGCAGTTAATTTAGTGCTTCAGAGGTAAGTAATAAAAATCATGGCTTAAAAAACTTTATTTCTAGTTTCAGTTTTAAGAGAACAAAAACAAGTATGTAATTAGATCAACAAAAAATTAAAAGATGGGTGCCAAAATACAGGCAAACAGAAATTCTCATATATTCTCATATATTGCTGGTCTAGGAACAGATGTGGAAAAAGAATTTGGAAGCATCTTGATCATGTCTTAAGAACTCTACTCATCAGAAGTAACAGCCCCAGTTCAGACGGCTCTATCATTACCAATATTTATTACAGTATTCTCTATTATAATGCTGAAAATTGCCCAAGGATATGTGTTCATCCATAGCAGAATGCTTGAGTAAATTAAAATACATCTACTCGTAAAACAGAGTAGTATTGAGCTATTAAAGAATTAACTAAATCTCCCTGCATTAATTTGGATGGATGTCTGTATGTTAGGATTAAAAGAAGTAAGATAGAGTAGTAGTTCAAAGTGTGGTTTACAGACCAGCACAATCAGCATCACAAGGGAGCTAGTCAGAAATGCAAATTCTCAGGCCCCACTCCAAACCAGGAGAATCTGGGGATGTCACCAAGCTATCTAGTTTAACAAGCCTGCTGGGGAGTCTGACACAGGCTCAAGTGTGAGAAACACTTGGGCGGAGTGATAAATACAGTATTATCCAACTGGGGGATGGGGGGAAGAAATAGGGGAAATCCTTTAAAGTATGTATGAATCTGTGTGTGCGTGTGTGTGTTAAGCAGGCTCCATGCCCAGGGTGGAGCCCAACACAGGGCTGAACTAGGACCCTGAGATCAAGACCTGAGCTGAGATCAACAGTTGGTCACTTAACCAACGGAGCCACCCAGGCACCCCTCTTTTTGTACGAATTGAACGAAAGGCACTGAGATATACCCATTTATTAACTCAGAGAAAAGGGCTGAAGCAGAGAAAAGGGAAGATAGGATTTTATCTTTGTACACTTTGGTAATGTTTTACTTGTTACGATAAGGAAGTTATTTTGTAATTTTAAAAATCAAATAAAGAAAAATGTATCCTTGGTATTCATCACCAAACACCAATGTAGGCAATCCTAGCATATAATAAATCTACTTAAAATATATGTGATTTGTCTATGTGATTTGTCAAGAGCAGTCACATTTGCTAGGGCAACTCAAGATGCCTATTACCATAAAGGAAAAAACTGAAAGGTCGACAAATTCCCTATACAGGAAAACACTGTACATTGAAGCAAGCTGATCCATTTTTTATAAAGTAGCATATAGACATTTTGCTTGTTTAAATTTTTACTTAAATTTCGGTTAATTAATGTATATGGACTGGAAATTTAATGTTAGTTTCAGGTGTACAATATAGTATTTCAACAACTCTGTACACAACCCGGTGCTCATGACAAGCGCCCTCCTTCATCCCCATCACCTATTTCTCCATTCCCCCACCCACCTCCCCTCTGGGAACCATCAGTCTGTTCTCTATAATTAAGAGTCTATTTTTTGGTTTGCTTCTTTTTTTTTTTCCCCTTTGCTCATTTGCTTTGTTAAATTCCACATGAGTGAAATCACATGGCATTTGTCTTTCTCTGACTATTTTGCTTAGCATAATACTCTCCCGCTCCATCCATTTATCATTGCAAATGATAAGATTTCATTCTTTTTTATGGCTGGGTAATATTCTGTTGTGTATATATACCACCTCTTCTTTATCCATTCATCAGCTGATGGACACTTGGGACTGTTTTCATAATTTGGTTATTGTAAATAATACTGCTATAAACAACAGGGAGCATGTATCCCTTTGAATTTGTGTTTTTGCATTCTTTGGGTAAATACCTAGTAGTGCGACTACTGGTAGCTCTATTTTTAACTTTTGGTGGAACCTTTGTACTGTTTTCCAGATTGGCTGCACCAGTTTGCATTCCCACCAATAATGCTGATGGGTTTCTTTTTCTCCACATCCTTGCCAACATCTGTTGTTTCTTGTGTTGTTGATTTTACCCATTCTGACAGGTGTGAGGAGATATCTCATGTAGTTTTGATTTGCATGTCCCTGATGATAAGTGATGTTAGGCATACTTTCATGTGTCTGTTGGCCATGTGGATGTCTTCTTTGGAGAAATATGTGTTCATGTCTTCTGCCCATTTTTTAATTGGATTGTTTTTTGGGTGTTGAGTTTTGTAAGTTCTTTGTATGTTTTGGATACTAACCCTTTATTAGATTTGTCATTGGCAAATATCTTCTCCCATTCTGTAGGTTGCCTTTTAGTTTTCTTGTTTGTTTCCTTTGCTGTGCAGAAGTGTTTTATTTTGACGTAGTCCCAATAGTTTAACTTGCTTCTCTTGCCTCAGGAGACTTTTCTAGAAAAAAGTTGCTATGGCTAATGGCAGAGAAATTACTGCCTGTATTTTCCTCAAGTTTTGTGGCTTCAGGTCTCATATTTAGGTCTTTCATCCAATTTGAGTGTATTTTTGTGTATGGTAAAAGAGAATGGTGTAGTTTCATTTTTCGCATGTTGCTGTCCAGTTTCCCTGCACTGTTTATTGAAGAGACTTGTCTTTTTCCCACTGGATATTCTTTCCTGCTTTGTTGAAAATTAACTGACCAAGTAATTGTGGGCTCATTTCTGGGTTTTCTAGTCTGTTCCATTGACCTATGTGTCTATTTTTGTGCCAGTACCATACTGTCTTGATCACTACAGCTTTGTCCTAGAACTTGAAGTCAGGAATTGTGATGCCTCCAGCTTTGCTTTGCTTTTTCAAGGTTGCTCTGGCTATTTGGGGTCTTCTGTGGCTCCATACAAATTTTAGGATTGTTTGTTCTAGTTCTCTGAAAAATGCTGTTGGTATTTTGATATTTGATAGGGATTGAATTAAATGTGTAGATTGCTCTGGGTAGTACAGGCATTTTAACAGTATTTTTTCTTTGAATCCATGAGTGTGGAATGATTTTCCATTTCTTTATGTCATCTTCCAATTTTTTATCAGTGTTTTAGAGTTTTCAGAGTATAGGTCTTTTACCTCTATGGTTTATTCCTTGGTAGCTTTTGGGTTTTGGTGCAATTGTAAATAGGACTGATTCCTTGATTTCTCTTTCCACTGCTTCGTAATTGGGTGTATAGATATGCAAAAGATTTCTGCACGTTGATTTTGTATCCTGTGACTTTACTGAATTTGTTATTAGTTCTAGCAGTTTTTTGGTGGATCTTTCAGGCTTTCTATGTGTAGTCTCATGTCATGTACAAACAGTGAAAGTTTTACTTCTTCCTTGCTGATTCGGATGCCTTTTCTTTATGTTGTCGGATTGCTGAGGCAGGGACTTCTAGTACTATGTTGAATAAAAGTGGTGAGAGTGGACAGCCCTTGTTGTTCTTGGCTGTAAAGAAAAAGCACAGGATGCCTGGGTAGTTCAGCTGGTTAAGCATCTGCCTTTGGCTCAGGTCATGATCTCAGGATCCTGGGATAGAGCCCCACGTCAGGCTTCTTGCTCAGTCTGCTTCTCCCTCTGCCTCTGCTGCTCCCCCTGCCTGTGCTCTCTCTCTCTCTCTCTGACAAATAAATAAATAAAATCTTTAAGAGAAAGCTCAGTTTTTTTTCCCATTTAGGATGATGCTAGCGGTGGGTTTTTCACAGATGGCCTTTATTATGTTGAGGTATGTTTCTTCTAAACATATTTTGTTGAGGGTTTCTTACCATGAATGAATGTTGTACTCTGTCAATTTTTTTTTTTTCTGATCCATTGAAATGACTGCATGGTTCTTATCCTTTTTAAAATAATTAATGGGATGAATCATGTTGATTGATTTACAAGTATTGAGCCACCGTTGCAACCCAGGAATAAATCCCACTTGATTGCGGTAAATGATTTTTTGAAATGTATTGTTGGATTTGGTTTGCTAGTATTTTGTTGAGGATTTTTGTATCTATGTTCATCAGAGATGTTTGCCTATGGTTCTTTTTTGTGGTGTCTTTATCCGGTTTGGGTATCAGGGTAATGCTGGTGTTTTTCTTGCTTTTTAACACAAGATTTTCTTAGTCCTAAAATTAGGACAATTGATCCCATAGTATCATAGGCAGGTATTTTAAAGATTTTTTTTTTTTTAATTTATTTGATAGAGAGAGAGAGATCACATGTAGGCAGAGAGGCAGGCAAAAAGAGAGGGGGAACCAGGCTCCCTGCTGAGCAGAGAGCCTGATGTGGGGCTCGACCCCAGGACCCTGAAATCATGACCTGAGCTGAAGGCAGAGCTGAGCTTAACCCATTGAGCCACCCAGATGCCCCTGTAGGCAGGCATTTTAATATAAAAGGGTTTTTCAAAGTCTTATGTGTGTATGTTTGTGTGTATGTGGGGGTATACCTACATAGAGAGTATGTTACATAAATTAAAGATATGTTATTAAAAAAAAGAAGAAGAAGAAAACAGGCCATAATCCAGGGACCAAGAGGCCACCTCTTCAGTTGATAATCTGGGGATTGGGAAGCCCTGATAGAACCAGGCCACACTTAACTACATCTACACAAGGAAAAAGGATGCTCCTCTCTCCTCAGGGTACTCAGTTCTGAATTCAAGTCTACATGGTGTGTGTCACTGGAGCAGCAGCTGAACGAGTCAATGAACCACATTCATTCTTCTCATAAACATTTGGGATCGCTAAGAACTTGCCCCCCTGACTTTTCACACTGTAGCAAAGAATAAACTACATCCTTTCGAGCTTCAGATTTCCGTGACCAAAATGGAGATGATTAACAGACTGGATGCAGAGCCATCGATAAGTTACACCAAGACCACTCACACGTACAGGTGTTTTGCTTGTTTTTCCATTTAGGGGTTTCTTTTTGTGTGCATGTGATGTTGAATTTATTTACTTCTTTATTCTTATTGAATAACTGGCATATACCATTGATATACCATTGTGTCAGTTTAAAGAGGACAACCTGGCTTTTGGTTTGTTTTTTCTTTCTTTTTTTTTAAACTTTTTATTTTAGTTTTAGTAATCTCAACAGCCAATGTGGGGCTCAAACCCATGACCCCAAGGTTAAGAGTCACACCCTCCTCCAACTGAGACAGCCAGGTGCCCCTACAACTGGTTGATTTGATACATTTATGTATTGCAATATAATTACCTTCCCAGTGTTAGCTAACACCTCTATCACTTCACATCATTACCACTTCCTTTTTGTGGTGACAACAATTAAGCTATCTAATCTCTTGGCAACTCTGAAGTTCGTAATACATAAAATATGGCTGACTGTAGAAACTAGGCTATGCATTTGATCACCAGGACTTTTTTCTTTTTTTAAAGTGATAGAATTTTTTAAAGCAAGGATGCAGAAAAAGCTCTCAGGAGTGAGAGGGGTCCTGACAGGGTTGCCCTCTCCAGAACTTATTTATCTACTAGTTGCAACACATATGTCTTTAGAAATCCCCAGACATTTGGGGAGCCTGGGTGGCTCAGTCAGTTGGACATCCAACTCTTTTTTTTTTTTTTTTTTTTTTAACTTTCTCCACCATTACCTATTTATTTATTTATTTATTTATTGACTAACATAAAATGTATTATTTGTTTCAGGGGTACAGGTCTATGGTTCATCAGCCTTACAGAATTCACAGTGCTCACCACAACACACACCCTTTTCAATGGGCATCAAACTCTTGATTTCAGCTCAGGTCATAGTCTCAGGGTCATGGGATCAAGCCCCGTGTCTGGCTACACACGGAAGATGGAACCTGCTTAGGATTCTTTCTCTCCCTCTCCCTCTGCGTCCCCAACCCCCAACTCACACTCTCTCGATTAAAAAAAAAAAAAAAAGAAATCCCCAGACATTTGTAATTTTATCATTGTTTAAAACATGGGGCAACACACTTATTGTTTTGCTGCAACTCGACTTCTCTCCTTAACATTATTTTCTAAGTGTAGATAAATTGATAAATTTACGTGTCAACATATATAGATTTATCTACATTTTTTTTGTTTTAGTAACTGAAAACACATGCATATGGTAAAAAGAAGTTTCGAAGAGTACAAAAGGCAAACAGTAAAATGTATCAGGTGTGCCTTCTACTGAGGACCTCAGACCTCTACCACAGTGATACCTAGTGTTAAAGGATCTTGTGAATGCTTCTAGAAATTTTGTTTATATAGGGGAATACACATGCACACCAGCCCTCTCAATTATCTTTTAAAATGTGCAAATGGGAACATTCCATGCAAACCCAAATGTAAACCTGTGTTTGTGAATACTCAACAATGTAAGCATGAAGGCTAGTCTAATTAATATATACACATCCACCCTGTTTTTTTTTTCCAACAGTTGCAGAGCATTCCTTCATATGGATGGGAAATACAAAGTATCCTCTGAATGGTGGTAGTTGCAATATCTTGACATTACAGACAACATTACTACTATTAACAATATCCTTACACGTGTGCAAATGTATTTGCAATAAATTCTTTGAAGTAGAGCGATAATAAAAAAGTATGTACATTTTAAATGTTGGTAGATGTAGGGGCACCTGGGTGGCTCAGTGGATTAAAGCCTCTGCCTTCAGCTCAGGTTGTGATCCCAGGGTCCTGGGATCGAGCCCCACATCAGGCTCTCTGCCTGGCAGGGAGCCTGCTTCCTCTCTCTGCCTGCCCCTCTGCCTGCTTGTGATCTCTCTCTGTCAAATAAATAAATAAAATCTTTAAAAAAAAAAAAAAGTTGGTAGATGTAGCCAAACTGCCCTCTGAAGATCATACACAAACACACATATATATTATTATTATTACATTTTATATATACATAAGAGCTTGTATATATATATGTGTGTACACACACACACACACATACACACACACACATATATATATATATATATATATATAAATATTTATTCATCTGACAGACAGAGAGCATAGCAGGGGCAGCAGCAGAGGGAAAAGGAGAAGCAGGCTCCCTGCTGAGCAGGGAGCCTGACATGGGGCTGGATCCCAGGACCCTGGGATCATGACCTGAGCTGAAGGCAAATGCTTAACTAACTGAGCCACCCAGGCATCCTGAGCTTATATATATATTTTAAGAACATCGCCTCTGTACGGATTATTGTCCCAGTCAACTTACATGTATTAATAAGAGAAGATTCGCTATGATGACGGTAGGAAGAGGATGGAATCTGGGTCTAAACTGAGCATGTAATGAATGGTGTGGAAGATGCTGGGTGTCCAGAAGAGGGTCATCTTCAATACTTTGGGTGAGATCCAAGGAACCCTGAGGTACAGAAAAACAGAAGCAATCTTTTAATCCCCATTTTCCCGATTATGTTTCTAAGACAAATCTACTAAATTCTAAAGCATTAAAAACCATTACACAAGTTAGAGGCAAGAAAAATACCCTCCCAAAATAAAGCGAGTTTAAAAATACCATAAACTTCTAGGTAACTACTGTATACAAGTTGGTGAAAACAAGTGTTAAAATGGGTTGAGGAAATCTTACTTCAATTATCTTCAAGTGAGGTATTACATAATGAGATTAAAGCAAACAATGTTTTCTTTGAGTCCTCAAACTTAGATATTGATTTATCTAACATTACTTAGATTATTGATGAAATAATTACATATGGTTGCAATTCTTAAACTATATCCTGATGTTCCACAAAATTTTGGAAAGTTGGTGGAGGCTTTATTAAACTTTCAGTTATGATAGAAATGTTTTAGAGAAGGAAACAGATCACCATGATAGAGCTTCAAGGAGACTTTAGTTGACAGATACCAGAGTCTCAATGAAAACAACTTGCAAAGTTCCGGAAGTAGCTGATGGCGTTAAACTGCAACCTAAAAATTCAGTCTGACTTATTTAAAGGTGCTGTCTTGGCAGGAATAGTACTACCAGATCTCTGGCTCCTATAACCACCTCTTAATCTAAGACCCTTGCTGAAAACTATTATATATAAGATACTATAAGATGAAAAAATTATAAAACACAGTCCCTGTCCAAAAGATTACATTTTCATTGGGGAAGCTGGGGATAAAGGTATACAGGATGAAATAATATTATAAGTGAGCTAACTGGACAAAAATAGGATGGAAATAAAGATTTCATTGGAAAAAGGGAAGCCTGAGAATAGCATTTGGAAACAGATAAGGGCTCTTTGGAAGGGGTAGAGTGAGACAAATGGTATAGGGATGGTTTCTGGGCACCAGATTACAAAGATAAAAATAATAATCTGGAGCCTAATTCAGATCTGGGGCGGGCTTCTCAGTTTCCAAACTCAGGCATTCAATGCTGCTCTGCAAATTTCTTTTTTTTTTTTCATTCAGTGACTACATACAGCTTCCTGTTTAGTTTGCTGTAACTTACGGTATGATTCTGATTATTTCTGTTCTTTTCCAGACTCCTCTACCTCTAGCTCTCTCTCAGGCAGCAGACAGATGTCCCAGTCTTCACAGAGCTTCCTCTGGCTACCATCTGCACATCCTTCCAGGTCCTGCTGGGTCAATTCCTACACGTAGCCTTCCTGGGCTGCCAAGCATCTAGATCACGCCACACCTCCACGCCCTCCCACATAGTTTGGTGCTTGCCTCCTCTATCATACTATCCTGTGACAGTCCTACCTCTTACCTATCCTCCCAAGTAGATTACATGAGACCCACAAACTCCCCACCACGTATTTGTCTTTGTAATCTTAATGCCCAACAGGGACTGGGGGTTAGCACCCGCAGAACAGATGATGAATGAATGACTGTTCCGATCCTATCTCAGCAGTGTTCCTAAGTCAGTCAGGGTGTTGTCAAAGACCTGGGCTAAGCAGGAGAGGTTATTGGGAGCTGTGGGGAGAATCAGCTCTGACCAGATGCAAAGGCAGTAAGTATTGTGCTTACAGGTAAGCTCCTAAGGAAACTGCCCCATTCAGATACCAGTTCTCCTGCTTCCTTAGCAGTGAGGGAGTTACTTCATCTCTGTGCCTGTTTCTCATCTCAGGAAACAGAGTGCTAATAGCAACTGTTTCATAGCTTAGAGGGGGGAGATCAGACGAATTACTATTCATAAAATGGCTGGAACACTGGCTGGCACAGACGTGATAGTCAGTATCAGCCTCTGCTGTCTCTACCACTTGCTCTTCCCTTGCTCCCCGTGGAGCACGCCTTACCACTCTGGCCCCTCAATCTCATCTTGCTCTCCATTCTCACTATTCAGGCCAGGTCCCATCATTTCTCATGGCCTTTGCCTTCCAGTCTCCAGATCTTAGCAACGTCTTGCTGCAGTTGATGTCTTCTAACATGAACATTTACGTTTCTCTCCCCCAAAACTTGAGTCCCTCCCCATTCTCCTCTGGACAAAATCCAAATTCTTACTCTGGCTCTCTGTGTTAGAATCCCTTCCCAAGCTACTTTTTGGGTCTTGCCTCTCGTTACTTCTCTCTCCTTCCTGATGCTTACTGCTCATGCGCCTTTCTCTCACAAATCTCTTTCAGTCCTGTGCCTTTACTTATTTTGGCCCACATGTCAAGGGCTTGTCTTAGCAAGAACACTGGCTTCGCTGATCCTCAACATTGTTCCTACTGCCCTGTCAGCCAACATTGTACTTCTCATGTCCCCAAGTCTGACTTGGATCTCTTTTATATCTTCCGTATGTCTTTTTACCCCTTTGAACACAGAGAAAATGGGTATAATAATTTTTCAATGTTCCTGTTTGCTATTTTTAGCATGTAATTTCTGATTCATTTCAACTGACTGATATGTCATGTTTTCCTGCCTTTTGCATGCTTGATAATTTTTTTCAACTTATTAAGATCCAGTTGACATATGGCTTTGTGTAAGTTTAAAGTGCACCAGGAGTTAATATGACAACTTATATATATATTGCAAAATGATTCCCACTGAAGCATTACCTAACACCTTCACCACATCACATAATCATCAGTGCCTGGTAATTTTGGATTGGATGAAAGACTTCCCAATTTATTGCTTTGGGTGTGGGACAGTTTTGTGTTCCTATAGTCTTGAGTTTTTGTTTTTTTCTGGAACGCAGTTAAATTACTTGGAAACAGTTTGATCTTTTTGGCCTTGCTTTTATTTATTTATTGTTAGGTGGGACCACAGCCACATTTAGTCTAAGGCTAGTTTTTCCCCACTATGAAGGTAAGACCTCTGTGAGACCTAGTACCCTGTGAATTATTGAGTTTCCAGTTGGACTGGTGGACTAGCCACTATGCCTGGCTCTGTGTGAGAGCTAAGTTCCGCCTCCTCTAGTCATTTCAGGTGGTTCTTTTCCAGGCTGTGGGCAATGTCCTCACAGGCCCATACTGAGCAGGACTCTGCTGACTCCCTGAGGGGCATTCTGCACGTTTTCAGTTCTCCTCTCCAGGTACTGCCACGTGAACTCTCATTGCCTCAGTCTCCCCAGACTCTCAGCTCCATCTCCTCAACTCAGGGAGCCTGCTGACCTCTGCCGGGGCACCCTTTCCTGTCACAGCCCTCAGCCTCTCTCAAGGGGGTCAGCTGGGGCAGTTATATGACTCACTCCATCCCCCTCCTCTTGGAAAGCACTGGCTTTCACTGCCCAACATTCAATAGCTCAAAAAAGTGTTGTTTCCAATATTGCATGTAGTTTTTTGGTTACTTCAGGCAGAAGAATGAATCCAGTCCCTGTTATACCGTGCTGGCTAGGAACAGAAGTCCCTACTTCACTCTCACACATGTCTATTACAACTTCCAATGCTAACCACAGGATAGCAAAGTTGTTGGAAAAGTGTGCTTCACATGGGCAGAGACTCTGTTTTGTACTTTCATTATACCTTTAGCATCTAACATAGAGTACAGGCTCAGTATGTGTGTGGAGTGAACGAAACATTGCCCAACTTCTTGAACACTTGGGACCTGAGAGTTTAAACAAAGCAGGCCTTGAGACCTTAACTGTAAGACTACTGTCCATTTATCTCCCATTTACCTCCCTTGCATGCCCCTCCTCCCCTAGCCTAAATGACCTTTCTAGATGGACCCACAAATATCCTTATTTTTTTCAGAATCCATACAAGCCTTAAGTTCTCTATAAAATTTGTTATGCAGGGGCTCCTGGGTGATTCAGTCAGTTGAGTGTCAGACTATTGATTTCGCCTCAGGTCATGATCTCAGGGTTGAGATGGAGCCCCAGTCAGGCTCTGAGTTGGGTGTGGAGCCTGCTTAAGATTCAATCTCTCCCCCACCCCCTCTAAAAGACAAAAACAAAAACAAAGAAACAACTTGTCCTGCCAACTGTTTTCTTTCTACTTTACAACTGCTATAAAATGTACTGCTCATAATATTAATTTGGAATAGTTCTTTTTTCTTTAAGATTTTATTTATTTACTTGAGAGAGCAAGCAGGAGTGAGCAAGAGCGAGCATGTGCAGGGGTGGAGGGGCAGAGGGAGAGGGAGAAGCAGACTTTCTGCTGAGCAGGGAGCCCCATGTGGGACTCAATCCCAGGACCCCAGGATCATGACCTGAGCCGAAGGCAGCCGCTTAACCCACCCAGCCACCAAGGCTGTATTGTATTTTTTCCTTATGAGTGCTATCTTGTATTTTTTCCTTTTTAATGTATATACATTCTGTTTCTCCTGATTACACTGAACAGGTTGGAGACGATAATATGGTTTCTTCTCTACGTCACTTATTAGACTCAGTAAATAAAACGTATTTGAAGGCTATATCAAATCCACTGTCTAGTGGATTCTACAGGAACTGTGTAACAATGCCTCATCCCTCTCAGATGGCAATTCACCATCTCCGTGTGAAAGGTAAAATGAAGACAACTCCTGGAATCCATGTAATTTCTTTCACTTACACTATTAAGAACTACACATCATGACCTGGACAAGATATCTGCTGTTTTGCCCACATGGATCTCTTTCCTCTTCTTTTGTGATAATAACTGGATCTCCTCTGGGGACTCACTGTCTACCTCTCCATTAAGTCCCAATGGGAACATCCTTCAGTACTTTTCACCCTCCTCTGGGAAGGTGGAACCTCTGGCCTCTGGTAGAACCTAAGGGGGCTGGACAATTCAATTCTTTCTATGAGCGACAAACCAAAGGGAGACTACAGCGGGCACATTCAGTCCAGGACAGACTCTGAAAGGACCCCGGTCCCTTAGATCCCTTGTGCCGCCCTTGATTGGAGTCCTTTCAGAGGCGTAGGTGTTCACTCACTCTGATCATTTCAAAGAAGTTCCTTTATTCCTTAAATCAGCCAGAGTTGGTTTCATAGCTTGCAAACAGTGAACCCTAAATAAAGAGCCTTTGCCTCTGTTAACTCTTGTAAGTGTCTAGGCCTATAGCATATACCATATTTTTAGTTTTTTACTGAATGGTAGAAATCATAGCCACAAATTACCCCAAACAGGCAACTTGCTCAGATCTAAAGTGATTTAGATATGTAACTGTTGGCGAAACATTAATCTCCATTTGTTTGGTGGAACAGATTTCTAGAATTGTACTCATCCTAAAACTAAAGGCTACAGATTCAAAAATCTGGGGGCAACTTAGCATCAACCAAGAAGCATTTACAGGACACATTTTCCTGATTTTTCCCCATATACTGTCAGCTTACAAATGTCACCCTTAAAAATTCAGAAACAATGATTTATTTCTTCAAATGTATGTGAATGTCAAATCTACCTTCAATGTCTTACAGTTAGTTTTACATTTTTTCAACTGAAAAAAAAAATGGTAGGTTTTAGCTTTATCATTAGAAATTGTTTGGATCTTAGTTAAGATACTTTAAGTGTGGTTGTTACTTACATAAGAATCTAAGCTCTTGTAGGCCTGGGACTGTTATGTGTCTTGCCTAATGCCTCTAATTCAATGACAAGATCACAGTAATATTCCTATTTATGTATTAATCCAAATTAATGCTTTAATGTAACTGTCAACTTTGCATTTCTCAAGGATAGATTTTATTACCTGTCAATGAGGCAAACCAGTTAATTCTGGGCACAATTACATGTTTCCCCTAAGAAAATTTCAATATATTTAAGTCAAGATTTCACTTTGTACGATACAGATTGTAAACTAGGCCTATGTGGGTTTTTTTTTTTTGTTTTTGTTTTTTTTTTTTTTTTTAGTTTTTTTGGTTTGGACCAGAAGTAAGGCAATTTAAAAAATCCTCCCATGCCTATCACGCTTGCATTCAAAACATCACAACGCTGTTTTTCTCCAGTGAGGGTTTCTGAGCAATGACAGCGACAAGTCGGCCCGTGGGACGCCGGCGGCCTGACTGCGTGTCACAGCCGCTCCAGGTCCACAGAGCTCTAAAGCCAAAGCAGGAAACCCACGACGAGGGAGACCGACACCCCCTCCCCCACGCGCCCCAGGACATGTGAGCGCAGCCCAGCCGCCCCGCTCAGAGAAGCGACGGAGGGAGGGCGGTCAGGCCAGACGCACATCACGTGAAGTTCCCAGTTCCGGGATCAAAGACGCGCTCCGCACGTGAGCTGGGCGCCCGTCAGGGACACCGCATCCGCGCACCCACCGCCCAGCAGCCCACCCGGCCTCCACTCGGGAACAGAGGCCCAGAGTCGGCGCGTCGCGGACCCCACTGCCTCCTGGGGTCTCGTCCCAGGACCCCGCGCCCCGGGCCAGCCCTGCACAAGAAGCGCCGCCTCCAGCCACGGCCGCAGCGGTTAAGGGTGGCTTCCCCTGGCAGTCTCCGCCCCGCGCGCCCAGCAAGGGAAGAAAGGGGTTCCGGGACTAGCCTCCCTCCACTTCCGCGCACTCACGTCCTCCATCCTGCCCCTCGTAGCCATTTCCCGAAGCCTGAGGCCGAAGCCCCGGCCAGCCGGGTCTCTCCACCTGATCCCCGCGCCGCCGGCCTAGCAAAATTGCCACCTTCTAGGACTTAGCCTCCCCCACTTCAGACACACCCCCTCCTGCTTCCGCTCCGCCTCTGTCTTCCCCCGAGCCCCGCCTCCTCACTCCCGATTGGCCAAGACGCGGGGGCGTGTCTCGCTCTAAGATAGAGGCCTGTGTGCCTCCCGCAGCTGCACTGACCGCCTGGCTTCCGGGGGTTTCCGGCAATCTCCGCTCAGGTCGGGTGGTGGCCAGAGCTTGGGTGTTAAAGGTTGCATTCCGAATCCAAGAATTTAACTATTTTTGCCGCCACTTGTTTCTTTTTAAAAACATTAACTTTTCTCGGTTTTCCTTAGTTTGTGTTTGGAGGCACAGCTCCATGCATGAGTAGAGCCAGCTATAGAATCCTATAGCTATAGAATCCATTTACAGCTGGAAACCACCCGCAGAGTGACAGGAACAGATTAAAGATTCTAATTTACATGACGTATTTACACATTTCACTAATGGGAAATGAAGCAGCTCAGGATTTTTAGGGCTTTTGTTTCTTTTTAATGGAATAAATAAATAAAACTTTTCTGGAAATCCATGATCGTTGTAAAAATGTAAAGAAAGTTAAAAAAATTGTGTTAAACATCAGTTCCCTGATCTGACTCAGCTACTAGTGGGAATATGCACACTTTCATACTTTCTAATGCTTATTTGTGCATTGCGTATGGTGTAATCCTGTTTATGACATTGGAAATAAAATTACTCAAGTATCAGCCAAGGAAAAGATGATACAAGACTCCACTTCATCTTTACAATCTCAGGAAATTTTTAAAATTTCCTGAGGTTCTATAAATTATTATTATTATTATTTTGAGAGAGAGAGCATGAGAAGGGGGAGGGTCAGAGGGAGAATCAGACTCCCCGCTGAGCAGGGAGCCCCACGTGGGACTCCATCCCTGGACTTCAGGATCATAACCTGAGTGGAAGGAAGTCCCTTAACCAACTGAGCCACCCAGGCGCCCCCTATAAATTGTTTTCCAAGAGCCGTTTCCAGGCATTCATATTCCTTCAACATTTGATCTTGAAAATTTTCAAACCTAGGGAAGTGTTTTAAAACTAGTGCGGTGAACTTCCATGTGACCCTCACATCCATTCATCAGTTCATATTATGCCACAGCCGCTGTGAGTGTTTGTGCATGTGTGCTCTAGTGTTCACGCACATGTTAAGGGAATCATTTGAAAATACTTAGAGGACATTATGAAAATTCATTCCAAATACTTCATTGACTGAAAATAAGGGCACTTTCCTATTTCACCACAATATCATTATCACAACTAAGAAACCAATAGTAGCTCCATGTTTGCTAATAAACAATCCATGGCAAAAATTTTCCAAAATTTCCCCAAAATGTTTTTTTAATTTTTAAAAATCTTTTTAAAAGACTTATTTATGGGGCACCTGGGTGGCTCAGTGGGTTAAACCTCTGCCTTCGGCTCGGGTCATGATCTGGGGTCCTGGTATCGAGCACCGCATGGGGCTCTCTGCTCAGCGGGGAGCCTGCTTCCTTTCTCTCTCTGCCTGCTTCTCTGCCTACTTGTGATCTCTCTCTCTGTGTGTGTCAAATAAATAAATAAAATCTTTAAAAAAAATAAAAGACTTATTTATTTTAGAGAGTGAAAGAGAGAGTGAGCACAAGCAGGGGGAGGGGCAGGGGGAGAGAGAGACAGAATCTCAAGGCGATTGCCCTCACTTCTCCTCCTGTGCCTTCATCTTAGGAGGTGGAGATGATGATCTGAGCCAAGACTCAGAAGCTCAACCAACTGATCCACCGAGGGGCTCTTTAAGATACCTTTTTTAGTTCTTTTTCATCATCCAAAATTCAGTCAAGATTCACACATTGCTTTTATTTTTTTATTATTATTTTTTAAAGATTTTTATTTATTTGACACACAGAGAGAGAAATCACAAGTAGGCAGAGAGGCAGGCAGAGAGAGAGGAGGAAGCAGGCTCCCCGCTGAGCAGAGAGCCCGATTCGGAACTCGATCCCAGGAATCTGGGATCATGACCTGAGCCGAAGGCAGAGGATTAACCCACTGAGCCACCCAGGCACCCTATTTTATTATTTTTAAAAAGATTTTATTTATTTATTTGACAGAGAGAGAGAGAGAGCGTGCAAGAGTGCACACAAGCAAGCGGAGCAGGAGAGGGAGAAACAGGCTCTCCACCGAGCAAGGAGCCCAATTCCGGGCTCAATCCCAGGACTCTGGGATCACAATCCAAGCCAAAGGCAGTTGCCTAATAGCCTGAATCACCTAGGCACCCCAGTATACTTTAATAAGTACATTATACTGGTTAACACCAAGGCTCTGGAATTAGTCATGAAGATTCGAATTCTGTCTTACTAGGGGTATGATCTTGAGCACCTTACTTAAATTCTCTAGGAGTCGGTTTCCTTATCTGTAAAAATGGAAATATTACTAGATCCAATTTTGGAGGGATTTTTGATTAAATGAAATAATGCATGTGATGCTCTTGGTACAGTGCTATCTCTAAGCACTCAAAATGTTAGCACTTTTTTGTGTAAGTCAGGTTTATTGAAACATTATTAACATATACAGTCATTGTTTTAATAGTATACTAAAATATTACATTATTCAAATAGTTCAGTAAGTCTTTTTTTTTCTGGAGATTGAAATTTTTCAAAATAAAAATAGTAGTGTTGTGGGGGGGAAGATGATGGTGCACTTGGTCGGCTAAAAGGCTTTAGGGTAGGAATAATCTGTGATTACCCTGTGTAAACCAGAAGGGAGCAATGGTGCCAGGAAATAGAATTCTGAATGTTGCAAGACTTTATAGGAGTGGGTTGGTAGAGGAGAGAGGTTGTCAGGCCAGGAGCTATGCTTCAGTAGGAGGCTATGACCCCCCAAGGATTAGAAAGAGCAGGAGAAAAGGTTGCCTTATGGAATGACAAGGGTGACTATTTATTTTTTAAAGATTTTATTTATTTATTTGTCAGAGAGAGAGAGAGCACAAGCAAGGGAAACGGCTGGCGGAGAGAGAGGGAGAAACAGGCTCCCTGCTGAGCAAGGAGCCCAATGCTGGACTCAATCCTAGCACCATCTGAGCTGAAGGCAGATGCTCAACCGACTGATCCACCCTGGCGTCCTTAGAAAGTAGAAGATTTGTCTTTGCCTCATCATTTTCTTTAGGCCTAGCCATGCAAGCATAGTTATGTTTACTATGCCCAGGTCAAAAGTTAGAGATAAAGAAAATCATATGATTGCCACTAAAAGACATTGATATTGATATTCATATTCAGGGGATATAAACAGAAACAATAGGTTAGGTGCAGGAATACAGTTCTGTGGAACTCTCTCCAAAAATTTGAAAAGGATTCATTATAGCACTCAGGCACAGACGACATGTATGGGGAATGAAAATTTAGTCATTATCAGGAAAGATTATTAAAATGTCCATATAATGTTCTAGTGTTGATCAAAGTAATTTAAATAAGCAAAGCCCTGTAAAGAAATGGTATTTATAAAGGGATGTGACATTTCATTGTTGCATGACTGTAATATTTTTAGTGAAAGTTCTTGTGTTTGTTCACCTTGAGGAATAAGAAGATAGGAAGAAACTGTTTTTCTGCCAAACAGGTGACCTTTTGATTCAGGCCTGAAGCTTTATCTTTCCTATAAGTGTTATCACCGTCAACATTATTTTGAGCAGTGCTTAGCCCAATCACAGATATTGAAGTGTTAATAATATCTCCTTTTTTTTAACATCAGTGTAAAATGTGTCCTTAATTCACTTTATAGTGTTGCTAATACAACTTCCCTTATTCATCTGACCATAGTAGAATGTAGCATATAAACAATAGGTGCTCAATTAATATTTGTTATTGATTTTAAAGTGAGATCTCATTAGCTACTAATACTGATTTTAATTTGGCTTTTTATTTTTTTATTTTTTTAAAAGATTATTTATTTATTTATTTGACAGAGAGAGAGAGAGATCACAAGTAGGCAGAGAGGCAAGCAGAGAGCCAGGGGTGGGGGGGGTTTGGAAGCAAGCTCCCCGCTGAGCAGAGAGTCTGATGCAGGTCTCTATCCCACGACCCTGAGATCATGACCTGAGCCAAAGGCACAGGCTTAACCCACCAAGCCACCCAGGCACCCCTAATTTGGCTTTTTAATCAAATTTTAGATTGAGCCAATCCTAGCTAGACTTTTCTATGATTCTCTTAAGCTTCCCCGTTCTTCTGTCAGGAATACACTTATCCCAAGCTCTGGCTTTGGATCATGCTTTCTAGCTAAGTCTCTCTTAGATACCCAGAGAGATGCTGCTGACAATTTCCCTTTCAATGAACAGACAGAAAAGTAAGTCAACAGTTATTTGAGTGTAATCAATTATTTTTGCTTATATACTTTTCCTGGAATTGTTTTTTTCTAGAAAGGAATTTAAGGATATTGTGAGCACTCAGAAATATTCTGCAGTTTCTATTTATTTGTTCCATAAATATGTGGACCTTTGAGAACACCAGGTACCACAAATAGATCCAATTGTAACCAAACATTTCAATTTGGATGAAAAAGGTATATTAGAGGTCCTCAGAACCTATGAAATTTCAGATTTGTTACCCATCACCTCTTCCCACATTATTGGTTTGTATTCTCCTAAAGTTCTTGTACTGACATTTAAAAACACACTTGTTTCTGAAGGCAGAAAAGTTTATTTTGGTTTCACTGACTAATAAGGGAGTGGGAGAACAAATTTGCTAAAACTTCCAAAAATTATTTATTTTTGGATAGATACCAAATATGTGAAGTTTTAGACCAAAAAAAATTGTTTTCATTTAAAGTTTTAGAAAAACAGGGACACCTGGGTGGCTCAGCTGCTTAAGCATCTGCCTTCAGTTGAGGTCATGGTCTTGGGGTCCTGGGATTGAGCCCTGAGTTGAGCTTGCTGCTCAGCGTGAAGTCTGCTTCTCCCTCTCCCTTTGCCCCTCACCCCCACTGTGCTCTCTCACTCTCTCTCTCGAATAAATAAATATAAACTTATAAAAAATAAAGTTTTA